TTTTCCATTATCCCTAACCCCAATATAACCCCAATAACCCTACACCCTAAACTAAGGCCTGAAAGTGCTGCGGCTGAGGTTGCTTGTCTCTCGGCGCCTGCTGCAAATGGGAATAAAGGCGACTACTTGGAGGGTCAGGGGGACTTAGTAAGTGGGTTAAGAATAGGGATAAGTAAGCTTACTATATGGTTTATAGGGGTTTTTAACCTACTTACTAAGTCCCCCTGACCCTCCAAATATGACATAGAGGGATACATGAGCTAGTCTAGACTCCTTAGAGGGTGTTCTATTTTAGAGTCAGGGTTTAGAGTCTAAACTCCTGAAAGGCGGGCTTAGGGTCTAGGGTTTAGGATTAGAGTCTAAACTCCTAAAAGGGGCGTTATCTAGGGGGTTGCATCGGAGAGCTTTATAGAGGTTATGAAGGGGGATGCTAGGAGTTTAGACTTCAGCTCGTCTGGGGATTAGAATGGAAATCTTACATGGGGAGCTGTCTGGCTTATTCCACGGGTACGGGTACACAATGGCTGCAGCACATCTGGGCCTGGGTTGGAAGTTTCCACGAGCGCGCGCACAGAAAAGTAACTTCTTACTTGCGGTTCATAGAGAAGGCACACAGAAATCCAAAAAGTAGCCCCTAAGTAATTGTCAGCAATTAACAGAATAGCAACTTATATGTTCTTTTTCACTCCTTCCAGTCCTACTCAGCACCAATGAGCCATGTTCACTCTCGGGCTCCGTTGAAGTTTTATCCATCCCAAAGCAGATTCAGGCTCGACAGCCCAAACAGAAGCTCCGCATTTGCAAGCTTCGTCCCCAATATCGGAATGTTGCCTCATCCTCATTTCGGCTGTATTCTAAAAGAAGACCATCACCTTACTTGCTTCAACCACCAACAAGCCCTCCTCAAATGGGCCCTTCCAAGAATGTTCAAACGTAAAATCAAGAATCCAACAGCTCCTTTTAAAAGGGCCCCTAATTTGTGCCATACTGTCCCCACCGTACGCCCTAAACACATCTGGGAGACGTCACAAAGCCTCCGAGCGTCTCTGGAAACGCAGCTTGCGGAAATGCTTTTTCACCGCCTCGGGAAGCCTGCTGTGTCAAAGAGGCTCCCTGTAGGGAGCATAGTCCAAATAAGGGATTATGGTGATATTGTGTAGGAACAATGGAAATGAACAAGGGAACGACGATTTGGGGTTCAGGGTTGGGGGATTTCCCCCCAATGGAGAATCAAATGGAAAGGAAAACGGAAAATGAAATGACAACTGGGTTTACATGGGTGTTTATTAGGAGTATATTTTGAAGGGGCCTGGAAAAATACCAACATTCTTGTCAGTTTCAGATACAGTATACCATTCTATACAAGGAATCTCGGACCATCATACCGGCAATTGTTATTGCCCCACTCAAGTAGATAGAACATGGGGTATATGGGGATCTTATTGTAATGTACCTCAAGCCATTCTATCTACTTAAGGGAACTGTAGGCCCATGAATTTTGCAGAGTACTCCCTTTTCTCCAAGAGCGGGTTCCCAAACTGGTGTCTTTCTATGGGAGTCCTAAAACCAGGGTGCGCCCTGGGCGTTTGCCCGGACGCGATTCGGTCACATGTGCGACTAACCCACGTTTTGCAGAGTTTCGAGGCTTTTGAGGGTTTAGAATCGGGGCATAAAAAAGCCGGATTTTTGCTGAAAACTGCTTGTCGTGTCAGGCCGCAAAGTCAGCATGTGTGTTTTCACCACTGTGCGCAGTTTTTCGTGCTCTTCGCAGCACATTGCGTTTTCACGAAATACACGATTGTTCATTCCCGTTGTCGATGGCCCGAATTTATGATTTTAGTGTTTGTTTCGTCGAAGCTATCAACGTTTCACGGGAATGAAAAACCGCGCATTCTTGAGGCTTGTCGCTTGTTTTCAGCAGTCTGCGCAACAGTGGTTCCTGCTGTCTGGAACTGTGTTCGGTAAGCCGTTTTGAACGAACGCGCGAATTTTTGTTTCCCGTAGAGGATGGCCGCAGCATGTAAGTAAGGGAGTTCTTCTTATTGTGCTAGGTTGTCTGGGAAGCAAAATACGCGCATTCTTCAAGCTTATCCCCGCAGACACCGACTTCTAGTCTGCGCCCAAACCCAGGGTGAGGAAGCTGGTTTCATCCCAGACCTTGTTGGGAACCACCTTGTCCTCGTAACAAGTGCGGAAGGCTACAACGGCTTGGACCACTGGCAAAAGGCCGAAGCTGTCGCCGAGAAAGACACTGGACAGCACATGGATGTGGGTGAGATTTTTCCTGCCCTTTGCCTCCGCATGGATTGCTTGAAGCTGCCGGCCAAAGACTCACAACTTTGGTCACTCCCAACCAGGTTGAGAGACCGCGGTGAGCCCTTGCTGCGGTCTTTCGAAACGAGGAAGCGCAGTGCCTTCTTGCCCACCGTCCGCTTGCTGCGGTAACCGTATGCTCTAGGAACAGGAACGTTATTATGGTTTTGGCATGGATGCTCTGGTAACCGTATGCTCTTGTAAACGCAGCAAGACAGCGGATGAGTTTTGACAGCGGATAAATTCTGGGCAAACGCCAAGGGCGCAGCCTACGATTGTAGGAAAAGCCCACATGCGTAGCAAAGGATGCGTGTTTTAAGGGGTTAAGCGTCTGGGTGTTCCGTTGCAAGCTGTCGCGGAGTGTTGCAAGCCTGCCACATATCGTGCTCCTCTCCGGCAGTGCTTACAGTGGTTTAGGGTTTAGGGTTTAGGAATATGGGAACTATATAGGGGATATTATCCCCCGATAATGGAGAATCAAATGGAAAAGCCAATGGAACATGAAATGGAAACTGGATTGGGGCTTCCTAAAATTGATAAGGGTGCCTTTCTGGGGGTTTAGAATTATCCTGACCCCTTCCTCTTGCCTCTTAATCGGCTCCTTGCCCCTGACATCTCCCTTTGCACCTTGCCTCCTACCGCCCTAATCCTATACCCTAAACCTGCTGGAGGGAAGGAACCTCTAATGAAGATCATAATAGTCTGGAAACCCTAAACCATAAACCCAAAACCTGGAGGTTCTATCTAAGCCCTCTACTCATAAAGACCCATTTGGCCTCTTACAGACCTTCATCTGCCCGGCCTGATAGTCAAGTGCCCGCTGGCTTCAACAGCAAACTGCACCTGCGAGGCACTGTGGTAATAGAAAGAGTAATAGTAAGTGCAGTAAGAATAATAAAATAACAATGGTAAAAGTTCTTGCAGTGGTTGGGTCAAAGGCTGAGTAGACCTAAGACTGGACATTGCACCAAGTTTGCAAACGCCACCTCGCAGATTGAAGATGCAGCTTGTGCCCACTGCCTCTGCAGTACATCACTTGGGTTTGTTGCCAGCACGTTGGTGATGTCAACTTGGGTAGAGGCATAGGCAAACTAGCAGAGTGTTGCGATGATGGCAGTGCGCTGAGCAGGGTTCCCCCCTCTGGCGGTGGGGTACGTGGGGGGGCCCTGAAGTAGGCGGCACGCATATTTTGAGTTATAGTCTAAACTCCTAGTGTCCCCTTACTAACCCCTATACTAATCCCCTATACAATTAATTCCCTATAGAACCCTCTTTAAGGAGTTTAGATTATAGCTCATTCTGATAATGCATGAACAATATCAAACAGGGAGGGGGGTTCGGATAGCATTCCAAACGCCTGGCCTAGCAGGACCCGCACACACTTTAGGGTTTAGGGTTTTAGGGTTTAGGGGTTTTGGGTTTGTTTTATCGGATGTGTAGAAGTTAGGCCAGAATCCATGAGGAGCCATTTCTAGCACTCAATTTATACTACCCGACGCCTGCGAGGTGCTACGGGGATCTCAGGTAGGAGTTCCAAATTTCCATAGCACCACTTCTCTGAAACAAGCCCAAACACTGCAGCACGACCGAAGTGTAGGAGAAGCTCCATGCGGCACGTATGGATTGCACAATGATACTCCGCCCCGGGGATATCACGTAATTGCTGTGGCTTTTCAGAAAATGTGGAGCCTGACAGTGGTATGCAGATATCCGTCTTGACACACCAATGTAGAGTTAGTGCCCTGAATCACTGAAACGAGGTTCGGCGCGTGCCTGCATGCCATCTGCAGACTCCATGGCCAGGGTGCCTGCAACAAGGTACTTTCCACAAATAGAGGGA